CACCGTTCTGCCGGGCTCGCAGCAGACGGGAGACAGGGCTGATTTCTCTTACTTGTTAAAACAAAAATTGGTCTTCGCTGAAAGATGAGTCCCCTCAACGCTGAGCGCGTGCTGGGTTCTAAGGCTTGCGGGCAGCCAGACGGAACCCAGCACAGATCCCTGCCTGGAGCGGACAAACGTGAATTGGTGCCTTGGCTGGCCAGAGGGGACGCATGTGAGTCTGTAGCACAGTAACAGTATTAACTGCTAATACATTGTAAAAATTACTCTCTAGCTGAACCGATTGTGAGGAAAGAACTTCCTAACATGCCTGACGAGTCTGTGTTCATCTACTGCCTGGTAGGAGACAGAGCCTAGTAAGTAACTGTTTTAATGGCAGCAGCTGATAAATGCTCTTTATGGACTGGAGGTTAACTAACTTGTTTGAACAACTCACTGAACTGCCCTTCTCTGCAAGGAACAAATAATTTTTTGATGTCTGTGGCACCCCTCATGTGAGCTGTCTGCATGCTTGTTCAGAGAAGCAGGTTGGGGAGGTGTGAGGCAAGGAACTTTGAATCACCCTGTTGAAGGAATTTTAACAGGCTAACCTCATATTGCACCTCTACAAGCTGTGCTTTACCCCTTCTTCCTCAACAGCTGGAAGGATCCCAACAATGAATTCAGGAAGAATCTGAAATTAACAGCAGTGCCTACACTACTTAAATATGGAACAGTAAGTGATTTATTGTACTTTCTGGATCTACAGGCATTCAGATGGGGAACTGGCAGGAGCTTACATCTGTAAATTATTTAGTCATGCATGTTTTCTGATAGGCTCACTTGTTTAAAAAGCACAGACAGTGAGGAACAGCTTTTCTGCTCCCACCCATCCACTCTTCCTGGCTCACTTTCTCTGCTTTCTTTATAATGTTGTCTATAATAAACATATAGTGCAGGAAACATGTACACTTAACATGTAGTGGTTGAGGAGTAGAGAAGATTCATAGCAACATATCAACTTCCTGACTTGCAGCTCCTCAAATTTTAAAAAACCCAAATGCTGAATTACAGGACTCAAACAAGTTATGAGCAGTATACTCTTGATTCAAACGGGCTACAGCTCAAGTTTTAACTTGTCCTTATTATTTAAATTAGCAGTTACTTTAAAATGCTTCTTCTAAGGCCAGAAAACCCTCAGGCATTTTTCAATTATTCTTACCTTGCTTGCTCCACACCCCACCCTGGAAAGTATGGCTATTATTACTATGTACAAATGCCTCTAGTCTAGGACAGCCTTTTGAATTGCCCCTAAAACATCTTAACTTTTCTTTCAGCCTCAGAAGTTGGTTGAAGAAGAATGTTTTAAAGCTGAGCTTGTGCGTATGTTGTTTACTGAAGACTAAATCCCCCAGAGGTCAATCATTTCCAAAGATGTTAATCTCAAGTTATTTGCAGTGTCCTTTCATGGAACCCTTAACCTTTTTTAAAACTTTCACAGTTAATTCTTGACAAGTCTGAAGTATAAATGGCATTAAATTCTAGATGCAAACCTTCCACTGAAATCTTGCGACAAAAAGATGTACCTTTCATCTTCAAATAAACTTGTGCTTGCAAACAGTGTCTTTTCAAGTGAGCTGAGATGTTGTAAACGGAGAGAACAGCCTACAGTTACTGAAGAGTGAGACTTTGCTAAGTTATACCTTTCATAGGGAGGGGGACAGAAGAACCAGAGAAACCTTACTCTTCCCAAGTTTGACCTCATGTAGCTGCTGAAACTGTTAAGATAAATTCGCAATGCCAAATATTTTTAATGGCTTATCTTTTCAGTCAAGCTGAAGGGTGACAGTCTTGGTTTCACTAATCGCCCGTTCAGGGTTAACAGTTGCAGTACCTGCACCTAAAAGAGCATCTTCATATATAAAACACAATACAGCCCAAATGAAATCTAAAATCCGAAAATTAAATCCCTGACAGCTGCCCAGATCTGTGTTCTTACTATAAAAACTACTCAAGAATAAATGGAAAATGCTTCTGCCATACTGCAAGGATTTACACCTTTTTTCTGTAACATAAACTGGTTTCAGGGCACTGTAGAGAAGCCTAAGAGCAGCCACTATTTCCCTGACAAAAAATGAAGATTAAAGTTGACTTTAGAGGAACAGACACAGCTACAGCCTATTCTCTTGTGTAGAGCAACTGCAAAGTTTATTATTACTTATCTCTGCTCCAGTCCTGCAGTCCTTTTCTTGTCACGCTTAACTTGCTGTATGAAAAACTGTAAGATTCCCAGCAACAATAATTACCGGGTAAACAGAAATGACAAGTAATAGCTCAGTTTCAGGGCAAAAGTCCACAATTTCTATTTTGTACAATATCATTTCTTTCAACTTCACTCATCCTGCAGTTGTAAAAAGCAGTACATGAGGGCGTTCTTAGCCACACTTTGAGACACATCATTATTCTCCAGGGTCAGTGCCTCCTAAGAACAGACTTCCAAGCTACACTTCTTGCTTGATGCTTGAATGTCAGTAACAAAACTACATTTTGTTTTCAAACTCAAGAGGAACCGATAACTACAGTAAGTAATGCTTACAAACTTGTCCATGCTACAAAAAAAAAAAAAAATTGCAGGTGTTTAGCAGTCTTCTATCTTTAAAAAAGCTTATGAAAGAAAGAAACAGTCACTTGATAAAAAATGTACATACACCCAAACAAAAGCGTTCATTCCTCTCTTCCAAATCCATCAGCTGGCACAAAGCACAGCTTATCAGCTTATCATCACTCTCCCAAGAGTTTTTCATTTCACAGAGGTGTTGTTTTGTTGCTGCTGCTCTGCAAGTGCTTGCTGGAGGCGCATTCTCTTCCGTGAATAGTGCTGCCAGTGAAGAATCTGTTGCTCATCAATAAACTTGGCACACTGAGCGTTCACCAGTTCCTTGCGGAAATGTTCGTACTGGAGCAGCTCTAACATATGCAAACATTGAGGATACCTAGATTAAAAATAAACACACTTGAATACAAATTTTTACAAGGTACACTAAAACTGGAGTCTTCAAGAATTCTGCAGTTCATTATTTTAGTTTTACCATGCTTGTGCTTTACTCCAAATACCAAAGCCCTTAAAACTGTACCTATTCCACACACTGTAACTTAGTAACTTCAGTATTAGGCTAGAAAACAAGGAGTCCAATAACATCTTATAAATGCATAAGCATGCTTGCTTAGAGCAACTTTTGTAAGGGCTAGATTTTATTAACAAGTACAGTATTTGTTTCCAGAGCTCAGGTAAGGAACTTGGCCACGAACCGTTTTCCCAAATTTAAAGGAGTTTTTGCACACTTACAAAAAGGCAGTCATCCTCTGTTTCCTGTAAGCATCAACAATGTAAAATTAATCTGAAAATGTGCTTATTTGGCCTAACTGCAATAGTTTTGTACCGTAATGTTCAGTAATTTCATTTTAAACAAATGGTAAAGTGCAGATAAAGGCTGCAAAAGGAAGATTCCATACATAACTAATGAAAGGTATGTTCTGTAACTCTGTTCTTGCTACACGTGGACTGTTGGAAACAGTAAAATTTGTAGTGTATATAAAAACAGAGCAGGGATGACAAAGGTAAGGTTACAGGTAGAAACCATATACTGACATGCACAGAAGGTAAAGGTCAAATCATTAAAATGCAGAAACCTAAGTGATTTTAACACTTACTTCAGGTATTTCGCATACTCCGGTTCTTTCCAGTAAAGTAAATATTTAAGATAATTTACAAAAGCTTTGTCTTTGAAGTAGCCTCTTTGTGCAAGAACTGAAATAAAACAACAAGCAAGGAATTGTCAGTTACAGATGCATGAAGAAAATATGCCAGATTTGAATATGTATTCTAAAAACTATACAAAGAGACACTTTAGTCAAAACTTTATCATTGCAAACAACTTTTGATAAACAAACATAGGGAAAAATACTTTTTATGTCAACATACTAAGCAAAATAAACTCATCTCCCTTACAATAGGTATCCTTCATACAATAGCAAAGACAGCAGCTTTTTGAAACTGGACATTTTGACTGTAGCATCAAAATTGGCAGGGAATTTAGTACCTGAAACTATTATTAACATTAGTAAAATTCTGTTTTCCAATAAAGGAACGCTGTTAACTTGACATTACTTTTTAACTGCAGACTTGAGCTTTTTTTTCCTCCACCAGACAGATGCTTTATTTTGTTCATTTCAACCAGCAAGACACTTTCCACTTTGAAACCCCGCCTGTTCAAAATCTAGACAAATTATTATTTATAGACTACTTCTATGTTGTGAAAAACCCATTCACTTTTCTTTGTTTAGCCCTCTCTCCCTGTTTAACATTACCAGTAAAGAAACTCCATTAAACTATACTAATTCCTCAGGATCGTGATATTTACTTTTAAGTACTCACAGTTGAGGTAATTTGGATTTGCCAGACATTGAACAAACTCTAACTCCAGCTGGAACCGAAGCCGATTTCCTGTATCATCTGATACATGAGAAAAATAGTAAGAATTGGACCTACACAACAGACTTGAAAGTAATTTTCTAAGTTCGAGTGACACAACTAGAGATAATGTGTTTAAACAGGAGAAAAAGCAGTAACTCGCCATAATAAATACTGACTCATTTAGGAACACCCTTGTTACATGAATCCCTGTTGAGGCCTGCACTAATAGATACAATGGGGGGTTTGTTTGTTTGTTTTTTACAGTCTAGTAAATGCCTTTAAAAATAGTGAAAGGCAGCGTTTTCTAATTATTTTTTTTCCCCAGAAAGATATCTTGATATAGTACACCAGTAAGAATACTGTTCTCCCAGTACAACGTACACCAGTCACTGGTGGTATTCCTGTTGGGGCTGACATGGTTTCCAGCGCTGTGCAACAGATGATGGGACAGACTGCACGTGCAGCAAGCTTCGAGATCACCTAAACCCGGGACAAGCAGCTACAACAAAGGAGGGTTGTGCAGCCTGTGATATCTTGATATAGTACACCAGTAAGAATACTGTTCTCCCAGTACAACGTACACCAGTCACTGGTGGTATTCCTGTTGGGGCTGACATGGTTTCCAGCGCTGTGCAACAGATGATGGGACAGACTGCACGTGCAGCAAGCTTCGAGATCACCTAAACCCGGGACAAGCAGCTACAACAAAGGAGGGTTGTGCAGCCTGTTAGAGGGACCACGGCAGGCGGGAGGAAGGGGTCATAACATCACCAAGTTCAGCAACATGAAATGCGAAGTCCTGCACTTGGGGAGGAGCAACCCCACGCAAGAGTGCGGGCTGGGGACCGACCTTCCGGAGAGCAGCTTCGCAGAGAAGGGCCTGGGGCCGAGCTGAAGATGACCTGCAATGAGCTCTTGCAGCAAAGCTCAACAGCAACATGGGCTGCGTTGGGAAAAGCGCTGCCAGCAGGTCACGGAAGGCAAACCCTCCCCTCAGCACATAAAAACTAGGTGACAGGTATTTGATAAATTCTACTTGCCCTTATATTTTAGCGGCAAGTCTCTTTAACTCCTTCGTGACTGCAACTCATACCTC